TCTTTTCTTCCTTCTCTAAGTCCAACGTTTTTCTTTTCTTTTCGTCCATTTTTATTTTAAGATGCTGTTCTGTTTAAGGATTCCTCTCAGGAGATACAATGTAGTCCCTAGGACAACGATTTCACTTTTTTGGTCTTCTTTACTTGTTGCCTTTTTTTTTTGATTTCTTTAAATAAAAAGCTTAAACTAACATCAAAAATAACAGTGGACCCAGAACTGAGCCCTGGGGCGCACCGCAATTTATATCAGCTAATCCAGATTCAAATCCATCATTATTGTTTTAATTTTTCTACCTTTTAGATAGTTTTCTATCTATTTAACCACTTGTTCACTCACACCTTTTTGTCTTAATTTGTAGATTACCGCACTATGACTGACCGAATCAAATGCTCTCGAAAAGTTGAGAAAAATCCCTCTCACAAATTTAGATTCCTCTAATCCCTCATGAATATAATGGAGAAGAGTCACTAATCGGTTTACGCAAGAATCTTTTTTGGTGAAACCAGACTGATGAACAGAGATTAAACTATTTTCCATTAGATACTCATATAAATGCTTAAATACAATTCTTTCTAATAATAATAATACAATATTACCAAGAACAAAAAGAGGTTTAAAACGTAATTCACTGGCTTTAACAACAACAAGTTCACAACAATCATCAGCAAAAAGAAGTAGAAAATAACACTTTTAATCGAACCATTTTTCTCAATAATTTTAATCTTCAAGATTTTTTCGTTTTGTTTTATTTTTATATTCAGTTAGATTTACTTATACAATTTTTTTGAAACTATGCTTTATTTTATTGTTTGTTTGTTAATTATGATCAAAAATATATATTGAGAAAGATAAACTTAAAGGATTTGCAAGATTGGAAACAAACGAGTCATAATAAAGGAACTATAGACAATGTTATTAGAGATGTTGTATTAATTGCTGATACATAGTAATAGGTTTTCATACAATAGCAACACTTCTACAAACTTCTAGACTTCAGGAGTCCAATGAAGTCCAGGAATCTACTATTTCCCCTTTGTGTATCAGTCATTTGTTCGTCGACGGTTTTACATAGACGTATAATATCAGTATAATATGCAGTAACGGGTTCATGTAATCCTTGTTTACGATTATGAAGTTTTTGTGAAGCAATCTGTTTAGCAGCTGGTGATTGATATGCAGCTCGAAGATGTTGAACAAAGTCAGCCCATGTTGTAATGATGACACGATTATTTAGATACCATTCTAAAGCATTGTTCGTAAGAAAGCGCGGTACAACTTGTTGCGTTTGACTAGGATCCAGTTTTTCCATGTCAAAGGAAGCGGTGATATCACGTAACCACAGATCAACATCCTGTTCAATTCTTCCACTGAATGTATTTGCTTTTTCCAATTTATCGGCGAATAAGTCTTTGACTATTGCATCTACCATCATAAATTCTTTTGGTTTATAAATAAACGTAGTCTGAGGCTGTAATGTAAGATGATTTGTCTGTTCGATTTCAATGTTAACAAAATGAAGTAAATAGTAATGCAGAACTTCTTGTTGGTGCTGTAAAATCACTTATTCGGCTGCTCTAGTAATGACCATATGTCATAATGGAACTTCGGCTAGTGCACCATTTGTTAGGTTTCACCTAACTTGTTCAGATCTTGACTTGTATATACAATTGGTTTATTAAGAAAGACAAGGCACTCTCTCTAGTATAGTATATGCTTGTGTATAGACGAGAAAGAAGAAACGAAAGAAAAGAACGTAACAGAAAAACATAATGTAATATAAACAGTGATGTAAATTTTTACTTTTAAGTTTGAATCTCGGTTTTGTAGCTAATCGATAGAGTACCTCTAGATGTATATGTGAAAAGATCAGTGAATTCTAAGCATTTTTTATTCTGGCTGGCAGAAATATGTGCCAAATTACGTTCTCTTCACGGTATGAGAAAACCTGTTCTTTTAAAGGTAGTAGGTATCTCAGTTTTGTCCTGACGCTATTAGACAGACCATCAAGGATCGCTCTTACTTTGTACAACGTCAGCTGACACTACTGAATCTAAACTACCAAAAAGAGGATCACGAAAATAAATTTTGCATGACGGTTAAAGATTGGTTTGTCTTAGTCTGAGTGGATAAAGCATTTAATGTTGGAATTGTTAGATTATCTATTAACCACTGCCGGCGTGGGCTGCTGGACTTAAAAATTATATACGTGAATGTAATACAAATCTTCGTTTACTTATTGTTCATAATTTAATTTTGGAATATATGACTGCTGTTGGACTGGTTGTTATGAATACTATGAACATGTGAAAAAATATGAACAGATTTTTAAGCAGGCAGATGGGTGGATGGTGAGTGAGTTGGAGCCAGAAATAGGTGCTGAGGTGGAGAAGCAGATGAATGAGGAGGACAAAGCGAAGACGAGAATAGTGGCTAATAATCCTTGTTCTCTGTCAGTTTAACGTAATTGATACATAAAGGTTCAGTTGAGAAACAGTGTGGCATAATAAAATAAGTATTGTCACGTTATTCAGCTTACTTGGGGTCATATAAAAATCAAGCTTTTTTGGGCTTTCCAGGCTTAAAGTTTATCCGACGGACAGGTCTCCGTAGAATGCCTGCAGTTCCTGAATCACAGTGGATAGCGTCCTGGGACTTGTGCTGATGTAAAGCGGATATGTCACTGTAACATCGAAGATTTTCAAGCCTAGATCGTTACTATGTGGATTTTTAGCTCAGGTTTTTTGCTTCGTATAGTATACAACGGTAGATCTTCTCTGGAAGCTTCATTATTTCATAGATCTACATGTTCCGGTGTCTAGTTTAAGATTGGAATAAAGAAAATCGGAGGTCTCTAGCTCTTGTCGTTCAAAAGTTATTAAAAAACATCAGTGTTTGCTATATTTTGAAACATAGTCCAGTACTGGGCGAGTCAAGCTATTTCTCGAGCCGAGTCCTAGTCATGTCGTAGCGATTTCGAGTCGAGTCAAGTCGAGTCATCAGTGTTTTCGAGTCGAGTCGAGTCGAATCAATATTATTTTTCTATTTTTTTCCGATTACTATTTATTTTTATAGAGAACGTTAACTACAAATTTTCGGTATTCGTTATCTATTTTTTAATTTTACATGTATATATATACTCTAATTAATTATATGTTCTTCACATTTATTCTACTTTTGTCGGACGACGGCGTCTTTGATGTTGAAACGTAACAATAAAATAGAATAAGAAAGAGTATTCAGAAATAACCCAAATTTATACAACAGGAAATGTATGCAAAGCACTTAATGAATAGAATTTTTTTCGAATGAATGACTCGAGTCAAACAGTCGAGTCAACGTCTTCCAATTTTCGAGTCAGAGTCAAGTCAGAGTCATTAAAAAAATGCGACTCGAGTCGCCCAGCACTGACATAGTGAGAAAAACGAGTATTCTTACTTTTCTCACACATTACCGGACAATTCGCAACTGTAGACGACTAGACTAAAAAACGAATTTTACTAGTTCCATCGTATGACTTTAACTCTGAATTTGGCGGAGTCTAATGTATGCATTTTTAGTTTGTGGACAAAAATACAGCCTTATCACAACGTGTTCTTTGACACCCACAACTTTTTGTATGGTCGATAGCTCGCTTGTTTTTAGTATAAACTGGCATTTACTGAAAAATTCTTTTAGTTCCGTGGGATTTAATGATGCAACGCCTAAAGATTAAACCGTGTTATGATCGTGAGACTCCATCTGGTCGATATGGTATACCAAGCTTGGCCTAGTCCGGACTGAAAGATTTTTTGGCGGACTCGGACTAGAGATTTTTTTGAAGGACTTGGACTCAGACTTGAGTTTTTGTATTTCGAGTCCGATCTATTTAACTTTTAACACAAATGAACAGAGAAAAATGAAAAGCGAAATAACAGCACCTACTGCTTCACATGAAACTGAAAATTTTGTTCGGGAGACGGACATGGAACGTAACCTTATTTTCGAAAAGTTAAATATCTATCCAGGGCTCAGCAAATTAAAATATAAACCAACCTCATCTAAAAAGAATCTACAAGATTACCGGACTCGAAATGGATTCGGATTCAGTCTCACCCATGCCTGGTGTACGTAATGTTATTGATTCAGTTTATCATAAATCCGGTAATGGTCTACGTGATTTTTATAAAGGTTATTTAATTACATTAGTAATTAATGTACCATTTTCGTCGATTATATGGACATTGTATTGGTGTATACAACATCATTTAGAAATAATATTAACACGAAAATATGGTTACATAACGTCGCCTCTATCCATTAAGAAGATTTAAAATCGATTAGGAGTGCGAAATCATTCAGTACAATACGTATTACGATATACAAACGGTTTGACGCAAATGACGAGAGCCACTCCGTTTTGTAGAGTTTGGTGAGCTGAATCAAATAGTAAAACAAGAATGTAGATTCTATCTGCTGAACAGTAGCACATTATAGTCGCTTTAATCTGAAAGCGGCAAAATACATTTTTCGTATATTTCCTCTCAATGTGGTCTAATTTGTCTAAAATCACAACACTTTTCCCTTTATCAAGGCATGGCTCAATAAAGCTTTTTTCTTCAAGCTCTAGGAAAAAATAAACTTCAAAGGTACGTTACACGAGAGCCTTTTTGACGTCGTTTTATTAAGCTCAGATTATTAAGGTTATTAAGCTCAGGCGCTAAAATAGATAGAATACTCTCGAACTTACATGGCTAGACTCCTTTTGAGCTGCTAAATCCGAATATGTTTTTGAGTTTTTGAGAAAACGAGAACCTATGTAACTCGGGCAAATTTGAAGTTTACTTCGAAAGTGTCAAAATCTCACTTTTCAGGTGGTATTCAGTATTTTGAAGATTTCTCCCCCAAAACTCGATAAAAAGTGAATAAGAAGGTGATATTCACCTGATATTCACCACATTATTCAAGGTGATATCATATCCGCTGGAAACTAGAGCTCGACATGCCAAAAGATCAAACTAATAAACAAGTGAAAAGCATATAACTTCACTTGTTTATTCCTTTCGTTATATGGATAACGACGATGTTGAGCAAATTGTATAAAATATGCTGTTAAATCGACTGGATAAGAAAAATTAGAAAACAATTTTCTATCTATCAATTGTATCTATCAAATTTTTCCATAACACTTTGATATTCTTTTTATTAGTACATGGATGAATAGAACTCGTCCAGCTGAGTACGGATATATGTGTGTTAGCCTACTTGAACCCTTTTCCAACATCAAGAAATTTTAAAGGCTGGAAGGATCCAAAACTTGAAAAATGTCTAACTTTAAAAGAGTTGACTTTTTAGATACTGGATGTATTTCGTGGTTCTGAAACCAAATTTTTCTTAATCAGTATGTAAAACCTTTCGGTCTTTATTTTTATGTTTTCAAAATCACCTCATAATCATTCGTCCAAAGTGCATACTCTCTATTATTTTATTTTTTCTTCTAGAAAGTTATGTGGACATGGACCTTCGAATAGATTAATAAAAAAGAAAAACCAGGGAGAAAGTACAGCTCAATACATTGTAAAAGCTGCTAATTTTCTCATCGATAGTGTATATAATAACAAATAATACAAGCGATGAATATCGCACTTCATCAACTGATTAACAGCAAAAATTATAATCAGACATGCAATCTTTGCTGATCTTCATCACTCTATTTCTAATTGGAAGCATTGTTAGTAATCCAGTTGGTAAACGTGTGGGCAACACCCATTTATTAAAACCAGCCATTTGGGATGAAGCAGATAACAGTCACTTGCTCAAACCAGCTATTTGGGATGAAGCAGATAACAGTCGCTTGCTCAAACCAGCCATTTGGGATGAAGCAGATAACAGTCGCTTGCTCAAACCAGCCATTTGGGATGAAGCAGATAACAGTCACTTGCTCAAACCAGCTATTTGGGATGAAGCAGATAACAGTCGCTTGCTCAAACCAGCCATTTGGGATGAAGCGAATAACAGTCACTTATTAAAACCTGCAACTGCATGGAATAATGATAAGAAAGAACGACGAATATAAGTAAATGTTCAACTGTCTTATATCTTATTACTCGCAAACCATGCCTCTTCATCTTAAGGCGGGTATTAATGAAGTACCAAGTTTTCATAGAAAGCTTTGAGGTATCAACAATAACATTTTTCGGTTCTAGCTTGTGCTTTTTAAGTAAAAGGTGTCTTACGTGTGTCTGAGATTGTTTTGCCGCATTTTTAAAATTTAAATAATCTTTATTTCTTGAACAAGACGATTTAGCACTCAGGTTTAGCGTTGAATGCTTGTATCCAAGCATACCAGTAACAGAGACAATAAAGCCAACAGATGGTGCAGTACTCTCTAAAAAAAATCCGTAGCTTACAAAACGAATAGCGGTTTTGGCATTTGCTCCTAATAGAAACCGATATCCGTGTCGTATGATCCTGCGTAACCGTTTCGCAGAACACGCTTCAACGTTTTTTGCCTTGTGAAGAAACGGATTTAGGTTTTGTACCAGAGAAAAAACGTTGAAACGTATTCTGCGAAACGGTTATGCAGGACCGTACGATACGGATATCGGTTTCTATTAGGAGCAAATGCCAAAACCGATATTCGTTTAGTAAGCTACGGATTTTTTTTAGAGAGTAGTCGTGCCTTAAAGGGCGAATATTACTTCTGCATTTTTCCAATGTGCTCAGGAGATTTGCGTTTCCAATTATAACCTTTGATAGTTTCTATCACTTTATTTGTCAAGAGCTGATAATTCGTATTAGCACAGGAAAATACACTTAAAAACCGCAACTATTTATAGATAAGATTTATATATAATTGAACACAGGAGAAAAAGATGAATAATAGTACAGAACATAACATGGGAAAGAGAAGATAAGAATAGGAATGAACATGATGTCAGACAAGGCAAAGAGTAGTCACATTTCCAAACATTACAAAGAGTTAATTATGTTTTCGTTGGAAAGAGCGAAACGCATAGAAAAAAACATTTTTGCAACTGATTATGAAATAGGAAAAAGTTCACTACCAAACGACGTCAAAAAGGCTCTCGTGTAACGTACTTGTTGGAGTTTATTTTTTCCTAGAGCTTGAAGGAAAAGCTTTATGGATCCAAATAGGTGAGACTGTACCCCGTGCACAAGTCTATCAACTTCACTATTTTACCATAACTGCAGATCTCGAATTCCCGAAACGGGAGTCAATTCACGAATATGATTGTTCAATATTGGGTAATGCGTTTATTTGTGATTATCGATAGATACTGCTCTCTTACATATATACTTCTACGATGAATAATCACTTATGAAAATAATCTGCGTGAAGTCAAAAATCTTACGCAATGTTTCCTTTTTGTCACATTGAATACCACGATGCTAAGATGTAAGTTTTTATTCTAAATACGTTAGAAATATTAAAACATATAGAATAGATCAAAACGTTTTTGATTGGCGCAACGACGAGATAAAGATCTTGGTTCTCTTATTTCTTTTATCCAAGACGATATTCGTCCTGCTGATGAAATTTTCCTTCGAAAAATAGAAGGACAGGCGAAAGTTCATCGAGTAGTCGACGGAAAACTATATCGGATGCGGAAAATAGAAGAAGATTTGAAAAATAATCTTAGTCCACATCTTTTAGTTATCCAAGCGGACAGAACTTCTTCAGCTGGCTCATGACCATCCAATTTCAGGTCATCTTGGCCGTCGAAAAACTCTGCATCGATTATCGATTCGCTTCCATTTGAGCAGCATGAGGAGTGACGTTGCGTATTATGTAAGATATGCGATTTATGCCAGCGTTTTAAGGCCGCAAACGAAAAGAAAGTAGGTTTAATGCAATCTCACGTAGTACAGCCGCCTTGACACACTATCGGAGTTGATTTAACTGGTCCTTTACCTAAAACTGCGCGCGGAAATGTCTACATCTTAGTTGTAGTCGATTATTTCACGAAACCGGTCGAATTTTTCCCTCTAGGCACCATTAAATCGAGAAATATCGCTCAACTACTGCATGACGAAATCACTTGCGGTCATGGCATTCCCGTTAAAATCGTTTCCGAAAATGGTACACAATGCGTTGCCGACGTTTTTCGAGAAACTATTTTTATTAACTTATTTTTTATAAGTTCGCAGGCAGAAAAGAGCTAGCAAATAAAAACCCCAAAACGTGTGTCGTATTTGTACTTCTGTATCAATAAATCTAGGACTTATTGAAAAGATAAGGCATGCACCAGTTCTAGAGTTATTTTTTTGTACATCTACGAAAACAATTATATCATTCTAATCATTTATTACCAATTTTTATCCACAATGTTGGATTGTAGCGTCGACTTTTCTCTACAAAACAGGCTAGTTGGAAATTTTGCGTAAGCATCAGATTAAACATTGTAGGTTACTTTTTGAAAAGTGGAAGGAGAATTGGTCGGAATTGCTTAATATCATCCTTGTTTTCGGCTTCTCGCATTCAAGTACAAACTTCATTATTCCTCATTTTGTAGAGGAAAACCTGTCGAACAATCCTATACAGCAAAAACAGTTAAAATAAATATCTTGAAACTAGAAATTTTTTTCAATAAAAACCCTCAAAAATAGCTTAATGCATGCCTAGTTTAAAGTGATTGGAAAAGGTTAAAGGGAGAGAAAAGCGTTTTGTTCGTATTTTTGTTTAAAGCAAAAGACTAAACAAGAAAGTAAACAGTGTCCATTCATCAAGAAAACTATATCATTCATGTTGTGTCAGTGTAAATTGACTCGAAGTAAAATATTTCATTTTCTTCGGCGAACAAAACCTATTTTGCAATAATAGATAATTTTTGAATGTTATAAATTGAAAAACCAAAAGTATACGGTGAATCTATATTTTGTTTGTCAAAGCTTGGCTATGTGATAGGGAGCACTACGATTTCATGTATGTAGTGAATATCATAGTGCCTAATCAGGTACTATGATATCGTCTTTTTTCAGCTGTACTGGATTGCAACGATAGATCTTTAGAGTATTCATCTATCATGTAGACCACCAAAAAATCTGGCTATTTACCATCGCATCGGGTGATGAAACACCGGCCGCACCACGAACAATCGTTTTTGCTAAAACTCGGATGTCGGCGGCTTATATAGACGAATTTAGTCTTGTTCGTCTTGTTGTTGACCTGGATCTGTTTCACTCAGATATATGTACCGTACCGTACCGACATTCTCAAAGACCATGGCAATGTTAAATAATCAATGTTCAGTGGCTTCAGCTTTTTCAAAAGAAATATTTCTTCCACTATTTCAGATATCGATTTTTAATGGTATACAATTCAATGTCTCAAATATAATCCAATATGTTAACTGCTTGTCTGTAATCTGAATGAATTTTAATGCACATTCATCAATGAACAGTTTTAAATCACCGTATGTCTGATGTTTTTCTATTCATTTGTAACTAAATAATTTCAACAATGTTCAGTGTTGTATGCGTCCTACGCGGTCTGTCTCATCCACAGAGTGTCATATGCGATGAAAAATTCGCTTTCTACCTGGTATTTGAAATGATGTCCAAAGAACTACTATCGGAGCCTAAATACAAGAGCAGTGGTTCTTTTTTGAATAACCAAGCATCAAATAAAGATAGAGACTAGCGGTTTTCTCCCATTCGATAGCTCAGACTTGAGGCTACCTTTTCACAAGCAAAGCCGATCTTCGAAGCCGTCTTGAAAACCCATCTAGTAAACAGAGTTGAGTTGGGTTATTTCTAGAACAATAGTGACAGTTGTATCTCGACAACCTGAAAAAAAACTTTAGTTGCGTGGAAGCAACAAAAACGTACTATATAATGGAGTGATTAGCACGAGCTCATTCTA